TTGGTTTAAGGGGAAATCCCGGGGAAACCATATATTTTCCCATTAAATATTAGGCGTTCCTGTAAATTTCCTTCAACCAATCCATTGATCTACGTACATGATTAATGGTGGCTACTGATTAGTGTAGGGCCCCCCAACAATTTTGGTCTACTCAATAACTCGGCATTTTTCTTGGGAACCAGGTCTGTGGAAATCAGGATGATCAAATAAAGTAAGGATTTCAATTGAAATCAATCTACGTTCAATTGCTTTTCCTTTTAATCTTTGAAGCAATCTATTGATAAGACATGATTTCAATTGAAATCAATCTACTTTCAATTGCTTTTCCTTTTAAACCTCAAAGAGATCTATTGATAAGAAAGGATTTCAATTGAAATCAATTTACTTTCAATTCATTTGAATGTACTTTCAATTGATTTTCTTTTTAAACCTCAAAGAGATCTATTGATAAGAACGGATTTCAAATGACATCAATTTACTGTCAATTCATTTGAATCTACTTTCAATTGATTTTCCTTTTGAACCTCAAAGAAATCTATTGATAAGAACGGATTTGAAATGAACACAAGTTACTTTCAATTCATTTGAATCTACTTTCAATTGATTTTCCTTTTTAACCTCAAAGAAATCTATTGATAAGAACGGATTTCAAATGAAAACAATTTATTTTCAATTCATTTGAATCTACTTTCAATTGATTTTCCTGTTTCTGTAATGTCAAAAAAACGCCCCAAAAGTTTTTGTGCACAATAGGGTTCTATCCAATCAATTACACTATTGAATTGAGGATCTGGGTCACTCATGGGGTACCACCTTGAAAAATTGTTTGGGTGCTGTTTTTTAATCAGGGTTTAATAAGGCATCTAATCATTTGGGAAACCTTGCATTTTCAAGGCTTTAACATGGGATATGGCTTTCTAAAGTAAATGGTCCAGCTTTACCCAAAGAAAGGTGTATCAAGGTGGATAAAACTCCTCCTGAAAAAATTGGATCGGAGAAAAAACTTCTCACAATAGAGGCCCACCCCCACCATTCACAGGATACTCAATCATTTTTGAACATGTCTCACAATAGAGGTCCATGACACTAATCGGTATACTATAATATATATATATAATTATATATGTGGATATATGTGATATATAATATGGTATAATATGGTACTATACTATGCATTATATGCACTACCCATATATGGCCACGCGAAAAAAACCTCGAGATCGTCAGCTGCCAACAGTTCAGGTCACAGCTGCCAACTTCCGCGCCCGCGCGGCCGCGGCCATTGCAGCGGCAGCCAAGGTGGCGCAGTGCTCGCCCACGGCGAGGGCAAGGCGATGGGATGAGAACATCGGAAAACCCCGGGAAAGTCATGGAAAATCTTAAGAAAATCATGGAAAATCCTAGGAAAATCGTGAAAATCCATGTTTATAGCTGGGAAAATCACCTATCTTTGATTTGCTGCTGATGTTTTTGATTTTTTTACTGGGAAATCCACTGAAATCCACTACTACTTGGTGAATCTATAGGGAGTATATTGTACTTTTTTGGGGGTTCCTTAAAGCAAATCCAAGCCGAAAATCAAACAAACATGTGTTCGCAAATGTTGATTTAATGCGCTAGTACTAAACCATTGAGAAGTGGGATTCACGGGTTGTTCACACAAATTTAGAATTTCATGTGGGTTAAGCATAAATAATGTCTATTCAAACATCACATTGTTTGGGTATGATCTGATCAAAGTGTGTTTTGTCCACTAAATGGTAATGGGAAAATGTGCTGGGATTGAGTTGTTTATTGGTTGAACCATCTGTAAATGGGGTTATTAATATACATGTTTTTATCAAACTGGTTCAAATATGGGATTGACCCTGGGACTTATTTCATGTTTTTTTCACTGGAGATGAAGTGGTGATTTTCAACAGAGAAAAGTTATTTTCAACAGACAAATGTAGGGGATTTCAGTGATTTAAGCAACAATTTCAGTGAAACAAACAGCAAATGTTTTTTTCAGTTTGGGACTCCCCAAACTATGGGACTGTTGCAGATTCTCGACCAAACATGGCTGATTTTTTTTGTGATTTTTGTGGGATCACCGGGCATCACCATATCTTATAATCACGAAGATCTGGATAGGAGGATGATCCTTGAAGTATGGACCCGTTGTGAGAAATCTTCGTGATTTATGGTGATTTGGTAAAAGGGTGGATGTAGGGTAATCTAGCTAGAAATAATTTACTAACTTCAATGGTCAGCAGGTGTTTGGATGTTATAATATATATATATGTGATTATGTGGCTATGAGTCAAAACCCTGGCACCCTAGGTACCTTAAAATAATTGGGTAAGGGATAGTTATTCCCCCAAACTAGTAAATGTCGATAGGCAGTAGCAATATAAATAGTAGGAGTCATAGTCATGGTCATAGTCACAGAAATAGTCACGGCAACAAGAACAGCAGTGATAACAACATTAAAACCAATATTTTTAAAACAAACCAACAACAAACAACAATAGATACCCTCTGGTAGTCAAACATGGCAATTGAACACCCATCATTGATATAGAAACATACTTCTAAGTGTATGATGATTAATGTTTGGAAACCCAGGGGTCATTCTTCACTTGTGCACTATAGTTGATTGTTCCAGCTATAACTTGTTTTTTGAGATTTTCGCCGTGTCCTTTGCAGTGTCACGTTTGGGCCGTCACTTGCTTGGCTCTGTGGGATGCGGCACAGGCACGGTTCAAGCTGCGACCTTACTCCCTCAGTTTGATGGTTCCGATGAACCAGCATACAAACTCTGGGGCTTTGAAGTGGGATCACGGATGCTGGCAGCAGATGCAGAGCTTGCCTCCAAAGTGCTTCATCGTTTGCACTTGGACACCATGCCTGAGGGGAATCACCAAGACTGCATCGTCCTGTATTCAGGCTTCTACTTGGCATTGGGTCTTGAGAAACCTTTGCTGACCAGCGTTGAGGATCTCATTGAGAGATTTGAGGACTGCTTGAGTGTTCTAGCGACATGCCACTAAGAGATGCAGATGATGCAGCTACCCTTAGCACCTGCTTAGAAGATGGGAATCTAAAGGGCTGATCCTCCACCTTCGTCTTCTGACAGAAGCAGAGCGCTATTCAAGAAGGGTCCATGGCACAAGGAAAAAACAGAAACACATTATAGAACATATAAATCATATAAACAAATTAAAACCTTCATTTCTTCAGGGATCTTCCAGCCACGTTTGACGACACATCGCAGGCCTTCAGGTGCCGGCGCGTCTGCTGCACGGCTGCAGCGCTGGCGCAGGACACAGGAGCCCTTGGTGCTGTGCAGCACAGAGCAAGGGCTGGAGGAGGCCGAAGCTCTTGGATGACTATTGACGATTTTTCTTGGTGCGTAATGGTTACAGTTGTTCATAGTGTTTAATAGTGGTGCATCATCTGCATCATGCCTTATAGTGGTTGATAGTGGTGAATCATGGTTTATAGTGGTTGATAGTGGTGAATCATGGTTTATAGTGGTTGATAGTGGTGAATCATGGTTTATAGTGGTTGATAGTGGATAATTGAGAATCATGTGGGGAACCCAATGCCATAAACCTGTTTACCATTTGGGGATGGTAAACATAGCACCCATTGATGGTGATGACTTGGGGCTGGTTTATGAAAATATTTTTACCACATAAAATAGTTGTTTCTTGATGGGGATGCAATGCATGAACATAGATGTAGAGCCCAAATGCTCCATGGTGCTGGAGTATTTACCTACAAAATCAAACGTAAATATACCAACATCTATCGGAGGATCTGATTCTACCCGCCACATTGTTTTTTTGGTTAGATTATTAAAAAGATTCCATCTTTGGAGGATGTATACCACCAATTTCAAGTGCCGGAATGGTATAGGTTTTTCGGATGTTTTCGATTTACTACGCAAAAGAAGTGTTTTTGCGTCAGGGTTGCATGGTTGTATAAACATTTTGAAGTGATGACATTTATCATCTTGATGGTGATTCAACCCACCAAGGTGGAGATTCAATTCCATGAAATGAAAATTTTGGGGTGTCCTACTGTGGATCGAAGAAATCCTGCACCAGTTGACAGATGTTTTATCCCATTATTTATAGGGGTTCAACCATCTTTTTGGTGGTGCAGGATTTCTTCCATGCACATTATTTTGAGTCGAACCCTCCGGTACCCCAGAAATGGCAAGCGTTGTGTGAAGATCTTGGAAGTGACTGGATTGAAAATATGTGTACATCCCAATACAGTCAAGTATGAACAATACTCATGAAATGTATTGAAATGTTACATTAATAGTTTTATTAATGAATAATATTGGCATATTGATGTTACAAATGAACATGTTCTTCATATCATATTTGCAATGAACATGTTCATCACATTGTAATGATCGTTGTTTTCATCTATTCATCTTCCTACATCCTTCATGTTCGAAGGGTTGACCAAGCAGAAATACTGGTTCATCAGTTAACAATGTTCCACGGTGAACGTTTCCGTTATATCTTTTAGTATGAATATATCCCTACTGCACAATATGAATAAATAAGTCTCCCAGCTTCTTCCAGTTATATATTATATATATAAATATACACGCAGCATATACATTCACGAACAATCAATCCTGGTTGGACAACCTAGTCGCAAACCAACTTACCTGGCAACCTCTCTACTTAGCACAGGAATGGAGGTGTTTAATGGTTTAGTAAATGAGTTTTGTCCCATTGTATATCATACCAAATGTAAGAGGACACAACCCCTTGCGCAAATCCCATGGATAGTCTGGTCTGGTCATACACCAACTGACGTATCATAAAGTCAACAAGAATATCCCATTCGTTGGGATATTCTTGATGATTAAATCATGTCTGTCAAATCATTCAAAATCCCCGTATTGTCAGTGGTAAATCCACCCTTTACTGGTTAAATCCCCGTGTTCATTGAGTAAATCCCTGATTGTTGTTGCCGCAGTTCGCTGGCAGATCCTCTCCCTTGAACTGCGACGCAGCGGCCTCGCACCAGTGAAGCTCGGGTCCGCCTGGTGCGTGAGCCGAGGAGAGGCGGTACTCTTTGGTAAACTCACATAGACGGGATTTAATGGGATTTAATGGGATTATATGGGATTTAATGATGGTTTAATGGGATTATATGGGATAAATATGGGATAAATATGGGATCTACCCTCTGGTAATTTGTTACAGTTTACTCTAGAGCGTGACTGTGGAAAATGGTCCATTTACTTTGGTGATTTACCTATTAAGATGATGACTTTCCAGGTCGTTCTATAAGTTTACTGGAGGGGACCACCAATTCCATGTATTCTACCATTTTCTCCACTCAGATCGTTAGTGATATAATGTAAACCCATTTCACTAGAAACATATTTTCTAAGAGTAATTATACTATTGTCCAATGCGCATTTTCCACTGGATAAATAATGTGTTTGTTCTCCCTCTAACTCATTTGGCTGAATTACAATAGTTTACTAACCTGAAAATAGCCAAAAACCATTTGGGGAAGATTCGCCTTACTCGTATCATTTGACGTCGCAGGTCATTGTAGTTCAGGTAATACAATGGATTCACCTTTATGGATGGATGTCCTTTTACAAATGGTTTATTCATAGAGGAATCCCTGTATGAAAATGAAAACCTGCCGATAGGTAGATGATAATATTTATTATACAAATAATATTAAACTGCCCCCACTATTGTCACTATTGTTCCTAAAAGGCCAATATTTGTGTGAACTATATATATATATATGTAGTATGGGTCCATGCGTGGAATATTTTGTCTGCAATATTTCCCAATATTTACCAACAAAATCACCCAAATGTAGGTAAATATGAATCATATACACAGCGATAGTTTAGCGTTTGATCTTCGTGAATGGAGCTCTAAGCAGTTGATGATGCAGCACCAATTCATGAAGAAAGTGACCTTTTAGCCCGAAGTGGATGAAAAGTCAAGAGTGACTTCAAGATCGTTTACTTAACTCTGAACTATTTCCCCAGTTTAGATGGACATCATTCCGTGACCTTTTCAGGAGCTCATACTCCAATGGTTCAGCTCTATAGCGTGGCTCAGAAGCAGAGAAGTTTGTTCCTGGATGAGCACATGGTTTTTCTCACATGTTTCATGGAGACATATTGTGCCACGATGAAACATAGGTTGTATTTTCCAAAAGAGGGATTATTGATTATTATATCCATTAATAGGGATTTAGATACCCATTAATATTATATATAAATCATTATAAGGATTCCCAGTATGACATGGATGACCGTAATTCATTTACGATGTCTTGAGCATGACACATATGGATCCTGGGTTTGTCCAAGAAACAATGTGGTTCATCATCATGTCCTTTTGACATTGCCAATATGCCGGGTTTACACCATTTTCTCAGACACATATTCATATACTGTAAGAAAACAATCTACAAATGCAGAAATAAATCCAAAATGTAGTAGATGGTAGATTGTTGTTTATTTTAACAGAAATAAATCAGAAATACCATCAGCCAAAACCAAATGCATCAGCCACATATGTGGTAGATGGAGAATGATGGGATACCATCGGAGTTTTAATATGGCTGCACGCCAAAATGATGAGGTGATACTCTACTCATGAAGGGAGTTGGGGGCTTGGTGATGAGGTAATGCTAGTGTTTCTGGATTCTGGAGTCAAATAGAATAAACATGTTCCCTCCAAACCCCAGGTTCGCCCACGCTCAAACAACACATCCAAACAATATGATATACTTATCACCAGAAGATGAAAGAAAACACTGAGTATACGCACTAATTTTTGACTTTAAGTTTTCAGGATTTAGGGTTTAGGGTTTTAGGTTTTAGGGTTTTAGGGTTTTAGGGTTTGTTGTTTTGGAAAGTAAAAGACTTAAACCCTACGCATCGCCGCGGGCAAACCTAGGGCTTGCAGCGAACATGTTGTATTATGTTGTATTCATGTTACAGTTTTTTTTCTTGCGGTCAACGTAGATCTATCAACAGGCAATCGACTATCATACTATCATAATGAAGTTATTGCATCCTTTGACCAAGCAGGCAGGCGCCGAGAAATGCATTTTTTTGGTGACTGAATTACAATCTCCTCAAAACACCAGCAAAAAGAAGTACTATGTTACTATACTTATAAATCATCCATGTTCTTATGTATTATAGTCATAACATGTCATCAACCAATGTTAACGGCATGTTCCAATCGTCCAGTTGCGGCCACCGGCCTGAGGCCACCAGAGTGAGGCATCCCAGTGGCCCACCCGGGAAAACCGGGCAGATTTCCTATGGATTTCCTATGGTTTACTATATGGTATTCTTACGGCGGTTTCCTATGGATCTAAAAAATATGTTGTATGTATTTGTATGTTTTTTGTATGTGTTTTATACACATGTTCATGTTGTCTATTTGATATGTATAATATATATATATCCAACACTATAATATTCATACATACACCATGTGTTTTTTCCCCACCTGCCAGGTGAGGGTTGTTAGATTTTATGTCAGTTGCCTGGTCCTCCTCGTCCTCCTCCTCCTCGTCCTCCTCCTCCTCCTCTCGTTGTCCTCCTCGTCCTCCTGCTCAACTGCGACTCGCGATCCACAGTGTTCTCTGTCGGACCTCAACCACGACCATCCACGCCCAGTGTTCCCTGCCGGACCTCAACCACGACCATCCACGCCCAGTGTTCCCTGCCGGACCTCAACCACGACAATCCACGCCCAGTGTTCCCTGCCGGACCTCAACCACGACCATCCACGCCCAGTGTTCCCTGCCGGACCTCAACCACGACCATCCACGCCCAGTGTTCCCTGCCGGACCTCAACCACGACCATCCCCGCCCAGTGTTCCCTGCCGGACCTCAACCAAGACCATCCACGCCCAGTGTTCCCTGCCGGACCTCAACCGCGAGTATCCACGCCAAAAGATATGCCACAAGTGCCAGAAGATATGCCAGATAGAATGCCAGAATAGAGATAGCCAGATAGAATGTCAGATAGAATGCCAGAAGATATGCCAGATAAAGTGCCAGAATGTTTGCCAGATAGAATGCCAGCAGATTTGCCAGATAATATGCCAGAAGATATGCTAGATAGAATGCCAGATGGAATGCCAGAAGATTTGCCAGATAATATGCCAGAAGATATGCCAGATAGAATGCCAGATGGAATGCCAGAAGATATGCCAGAACATATGCCAGAAGATATGCCAGAAGATATGCCAGATGCCAGAAGATATGCCAGAACAACTGCCAGAAGATATGCCAGGTAGAATGCCAGAAGATATGCCAGATAGAATGCCAGATCGAATGCCAGAAAATATGTCAGATAGAATGCCAGAAGATTTGCCAGTAACAAAATGTATAAATGTCATGGTGGGGATCACACGAAGTAAAGTAATTTTCATGGTTGTTAGATTCGATCCACTGAATTGAATGCTGAAACTGGCCATAACTGGCCACGGGTCGGTTCCAGCTGGACACGGTGGGTTCATATTACCCCTGAAAGGTGCTTGCAACCGAGACGATCATGTTTGACTATATAATAGATATACATGGTGTATGAATATTATAGTGTTGGATATATATATATATATTATAAATATCAAATAGACAACATGTGTATATATATATATATGGTTGGGGATTGAATTTTGACCCACAGCCCCCACCCAAACTGTTTCGGATAAACGTGCCATGTGTTTTTTTGCTCGTGATGTTTGTGACAAATTGGTATGGACCATATTTAAGGGCAAATCACAATGACTCACTCTGAAACCTTTTTTGGAGATGACTCGCATTACTAACCATATCTTACCATACCATCATCTATTTGGGTGCGCTTCACAACCCTAAGCTCATGGCCATCAAACAATAGTTAAAAAGTATCGAACAGCATGAATAAAGTAACCAATGCATTTAGGGTATCCTATTTTCAACCAAACCCATCTGATCATCTATAGTTCTTGCCATCCAGTCATGTCAGTCACCTCTTTGCCCTGGTGATAGACGATGACTTTGAAGCCTTGACGATTGCGGAGGATTTGGCTACAGAGTTGGAGGCCTGCCAGTGACGTAACCATTGGGGATACCAAAGGGCAAGTCACTCTTTCATGTCTAAAGGCTAATCAGCAATTTCTATGAATCTCCCCGGAAATGGCAGATGTCAGAGGTCCGTACGGTCCGTAGCCCTTTTAGGTTGCGATATCCAATTGCTAGTCCGTATGGTGAATGCCGTCTCTTGACCAGCAAAGTGGCAAAAACCGTGGCAAAGGTACAAACATGCAGAGGACAGGTGATTCACTGCCAACTGCGTGCGGTGTTCATTCGCCAGAATTGGAGAACGGGACAATTTACTTCGGGAACTCGCGAAATGTGGGGTCAAAACTGTCAAACACATGTTAAAACCATTATTTACTGTACGTAGATTTTACCTTAAACCAATCCATTGAACCAAGTGTATGCTTAGTCCTTTCCATCTTGGCAGGCGTTGCTTGAGCCGGGAGCCTTAACAGAGGCCTTGGACGCAGCACGTGGTAGGCAATCCAAGGTGGGGCAATGGCGGGTGGAATGGAGTTTTATTGGTACCCTGGTAAACATCAAAATGGTAAGCAGATCTTCATCCCCCGCATATTATGGCAATATATATATATATATGGTACGACACATCCTCCATAAGGCGAACTTTTGGTTTTGGTACCTTCAAGCCTCAAATTTCGGTACTTTTACAAGGTATACAATGTGTTGTTGGTATTTTGAAGGGCAATGCACACCACGCACCCGTCAATCATCAGCGTTTCTTTCTTAGCATGACAAGGGGGTACCAGTTCCCACACTAACATCACTAACCGAAACCAATGGACCTACCCATGATCAGTCAATATCAGTCATTTTTTGGCACCAGGAAGCCTCGAGTCTTTTTGGGTACTTTTGACTTTGGGGCATAGTCGGACAAGGTGGTGTTCGCATGAGCAGGTGCCGGTGATGGAAGAATATGAAGAATACATCAATTTGTGCAGGTGCCTGTCTTCCATGTCAAGAATTTGGGCCTGACCTGACTAGTCGCTTTGATCTGACTGGATTGAACTGCCACATGTCAGTTGGAAAGGTGCCGAGATATGACATTCGCTTCTCTTCGGAAAGGACGTCGGTTCCGTGTGAGTCAGCAGTGCTTTTTTGAGAAGGGAACCAGATAGGAGCCGAAAAGCTGGTGACACTGAACTCCCAGAGATCCACCATTTGACATTTGCCAGCCATGACGCATGGTTAGATGATGTTAGATGGTTAGATTCTCGTTGCAATGCCCCCAGGCTGCATGCCTTTCTCATATCATCAGCATGTACCCCAACAATGATGAATAGATCGTTTTGACATACCCCAAAAGGGGTATTTTCCCTATAATCCAGCCATGATTTGTGAATATTATTATAGGTATGATTATATTGTATAAAACCCATATTGAAGCCATGTTTCTGGGGTATGTCCAATTGGGATATATCAACATGTTCCATTCATGCTCCAGTTTAGGTGTGCCATGGAGGACCCAGTGATGCAGCGGTGCAGGACTCTGGAACCAAAGTTGCGCCAGGTCGTCTCTGAAAGTCTCCGAAGAGGCCCAGTGCCGGGTGGCGGAGGCGGCGGGTGGAATCTATCGAACCTATACCAGGGGCCCCCAAGATTTGGGTAGTTGGATGATGGCAGAACATTAGTAGAACAACCATGAACCAAACATTTTACTAGTGTGATCGCCAACTGCAAGATATGAAATGACCCGGTTTCATTGGGAAGAACCAACGCCAATTCATTTCTCTCACTTGTAAATTCCTTTGACCCTGATATCCACCTGTCAGCATCGACCATTGATATAACCCAAACAATACCCAAACGATGTTTGCTCATATCCCTAAATGGTCCCAATTATGTGGAAATTCCCCACTAAACCATGGGTTTTCTACTGGTGTTTAATATGGGGGATGGGATTATTCCATATTATTCCCCCGTTGTCCCAATGATCCATGCATGTTTTCATGGTCCCGTTCCAGACCGTGGTGAAATCGCAAAACGCAAATCAGGTCTGAAGAAAAAAGTCCCATGGCGATTCGATGAGAAGAGGTGTGGCCGCTGGAAAGTGTTGCAGTGAGATGTTGCCGCTACCCTCCGCGAATCAAAGATGGTTGGCTGATGTTGGCTGATCCTCTATTTATTGATGTGTTTTTTCCCATTAAAACCTTCATTTTACAATGGATTTTCCATTAAAACCTAAATTTATAGTGGATTTTTACCATAAAAACATCTATATTGATTCGGGATTTCCTAGGAAGTAACTCAAATGTTGACCTTGCAGTGCGTCCTCAGGCCCCAGGTGACACTGTGGGTACACTGGGGTGCGATTGCCCAGTGAGACTTGGGTCTGAGGTTTCCTAAAAGGGGGGTACCCCAATAATCCCCAATATCTGGATGGGTTTATTTCATGGAACATCCCATTTTTCAATGGATGATCTACCCTCTGGTAATTTAACAGTTCGCTATTGAAAATGGCCATGATTAATGGGAAAATCCACTATTTCTATGGCCATTTTCAATAGCTATTTTGACATAACCAGAGGGTAAGGGGGCCGCCCCTCCCAGGCCCCAGCTCTTTGGCTTTGGGCCTGGCGTCCGTCCTCTCCGCCGCGCGCCGCAACTTGTGTCGCCTCAGCGCCTTGGGGCTGCTGGGTGCGGAGGCAGCGCAAGGTGGCGCCTTGGCGGACCCCTGCTGCGGCCACGGGAAGGTGCTGCAGCTGGCGCTTCGGATTTGGCCCAAGGACCGGGGAAAAGTTGGGGCAACAGGAAACTAGGGACAGTTTCTCCATTGTTTCTCCCATAAAATCTCAGGGTTTCCTTTGAATGTTCCTTTCAACCAACCCAATGTTGTATGGATATGTATGGGTCATAGTTGTTTTTTCCTGCTGGTTGGTTGATTAGTAGAAGATATAGAAGGCTCCCCCATCAAAACCAAACCGACCCCTCTATTTTTCCATATTTTTCCTGAAAGGACGATGTTGGGAACATATGAATGGCAACTCTAATGGATAATGGGGGAAATGATGTTCAAACATGCTCAAACAACAAAAAGATGGGAATAATTTGACTAATTGGTGATTGGGTAAATGGAATAAAAATGATATAAATTGATAATTTTCATGGGGGAAATGAATGATGAACCATCAAAAGGTGAAGATATGGAAATTTTATTTGGTAACAGATGATCCGAGATGGGATTTCAACATGACACATATGGGAGATCTGATATAATTAATGGGATGTGTAGCTTGATATGATGGGAGAGTCCGCTGGGGAATAGATGGTCCAGAAAAAGATACTCGGACGATTCCGTTGGGATGGCCAATAACAAAGGACCTCTTATTTCTATGTTTGTTTTTTTGTGAGTGGTTCACAGTTGAATCTTCAGCATCATTCATGTTTTTTTGTGTTTGGAAGGTCGACAAACATACCACTGCCTTCCAGGCTATATTCCTGTCCGGAAGGTTGGTGGGTAGTTATCTGGGATGGTCCCAGATATGGAAAACCATGAATCATTGATTCGGAGCAACAAAAGAATCCTTGGCTTTGAGATGTGATCGTCATAATGGACGGAAAACTGTTTAACTGGCAAAAACAACTAGAATACCTCAGAACATCTCAGAAGAACCTCACCAGAAATGATGATTAGGGGCAGCAAAGCAATCCCACAAAGACCATGTTTCAGTGAAATTTGTGACCTATAAACATCTATAAACATCTATTGCCCAGAGCCCAGAGTCGAGTGTTTCCTTAGTTTCCTCAGCATGATGTGCCCATCCTCAGCATGTTAACATCCTGCCCCAGAGGAGCCTTCCAGAGTTGTTGGGCAAGACCTGAGACAGGCGGCAGTGCTTTGCAGTGCTTTGCAGATCATCCAGGGATCACCTAAAATGGGGGCACCATGTGTGCCATCGTTATAAGTTGGATTATGAACCAAAAAAAGGGACATGTGTTTTGTTTACATCGTATCTTGGCATTGGCCATTGGCCACGTTAAGATCAGTGCTCAGGAGTATCACCAATAATCTCAGTAAACCACAACCTTAGTTTATTTGTAACCATCAATGTATAATGGAAATATATCCAATATTTTAACATACCAATCAATGATATCACCATCATATAGATATGATATATGAAATGAATATTATCAATGATCACTGTTTGAACTTACATGCTTAAACTATATTAAACTAATATTATAACATATATATATATATATGTATATAATATTATGATATATATATAATATTATAATATATATATATAATTACGTATATAATAAATTATATATATAATATTTAATATACATATATATATATATATACGTATATATGTTCTACAAGGTGGCCCCTTCCAACTTACAAATGGGGTTTCAAGCCCCGTCACCTTGAGTTATAAGTATCATGAAATACTTCAAAACCAACTTCGCTATATCTCAAAAACACTTAGAAATAAACTGCAATATGAAATCGATATGTCCATATATGTTCTATGATTCTATGGTGTTAACCTTCCCATTTTATCCCGGAGGCCGCCCTGAAAACCGCGCAAAAGACCTTGGGCAGCGCGGCAGCGCTGTGCCCGGGCGATGGGGGGCAGCTGGCCCTGCAGCCGGGTGGGCCCCCAGTAGATGGGTCTGGCAGTTTGGCAATGGGTTTGGGTGACCCAGTCATTGAATGGCTAACAATGGTGGTTTCATGGGGAAACCAATCATTTTATGGGATGATAATGGGATATAACCGATAATTTGTGAGATTGTGCCATCAACAATGGGGATTTAAAATTATATAATATATTTATATATGTATGTATATGTATTATTTGTATTCATTTATCATTATATGGGATATGTCTAATATGCACAAACATATATACACAGCAATATCATACTTGGGTTTGTCTGAAAATAGGGTATAAACCCCACATGGCAATTTGAATGGAGACAATATGGGACAATGATGGTTGATCAATGGATTTATAGGTATCATAGTTTCTGACAGACCCATTTTCAGGGTCACTAATCACATGGGGATTTAACCATCACATGGTGATTTAACCATCAGATGGTGATATGGGTGATAAATCGTGGGCGATGGTTCTTGTCGTTAGAGTTCCGGCAACGGGACATGTTTTGAAGCTGAATTGTCTAGAGTCTAGAGGTTCTAATGAAGATGTAATTGGGTTGGGGTAATCAACAATTATGACGATATGATGGGCATATGATGGGGATAGAATGGGATAATGACACAAACAAACATTCTGGGTCAACATCAGTTTACAAATTTAATATTTTACTACAAATGTGGATTTGTACTAACCAGCAAAAACAAATGCAGAGTATCTACTGTAAAAGTGTCTAGTCTAAGATGGGCAATGATTACAAGGAAAACATGTTTTTACATATGTTGCAACAAGTCATGCTAATCAGTGAATTCAGACATTGTTTGGCAATGGGGCAATGAGTTTCTGTTGAATCCGAAAGTTTTGTTGCCAGTGCTGCACAGGGGAAGCCGACGCAGTTCTTTGTGACTTACCTAATTCGGGAGAGCCAGAGGAGTGGGAGCTTTGCAAAAATCTCGGGTCATTTTGGGTACCAGGTCATTTTCGAGTATCAAACTTCCATTTTGAGATCCTTTTTTGACCCATACCCATTGCACCGATTCGTTGTGTAAATTGGGTAATGCTGAGAATGACATGGTGAATGACATCAGAAATGAGATGACCAATAGAAAAAGTTTATTTCAATTGCTTGATGTTGGATTCAGTGTTCAGGTTTGGGTTTGGGACGAAATCCATTCATACACACATTCACAGTATTTTCGGCCTTCCACTTCCCCTATAACATTCCCTAAGTATGTAAAACACCCTTGATGTATACACTATATATAGAAGCTATGCTCTTATAATGAGAGGAAACAGTGCGTTTGTCTCAATAACGACCTCAGTGAGAGGAACCATCCCCAAACGGCCTATATTTGTCAGTATGGTCATTATCTGCACAGGAAAGAACATATTGTATGCGGCAAATATGTATGTATGTGTATTATATATATATATGTATATATACACACATGTGCATCAAGAGTTGACATGTATTTTTTGGAACCCACTCTTTTGAATTGACAACTTCTCTACCCTCAGCGGAAGGAATGCGAGCAGTTGTACCACCGAGTTGTCAAGGAGGCGTTGGTGGTGAAGCGCTTTCTACCAATAAATGTATGATCTTAAATCGTAAATTTCCGTGTAGCAAATTTGAAGTTTAGAACCCCTAAAGCAATATCAATTGAATGCAAATGGATAGAAATATATGACTACAATTTGATAATCATCCCCAAAGGTTGATAGAAAAGTTGGACACCTGGAAATCATGTAGGAAACATCATTTACTTTACATCCTGCAGACACCGCTTGCGCGCTCTCTTTTTGGGGACCCCTGGAGTACGTCTCAGTCCTATGATTTCCCCAATGTTCTGGTTCATAGTTTTCATACTATGATACCTGGCTTAAACTACGTGAAACAATCGTAGATCGTGGTTTCATGATCTCTGGTAAAAACACCATTTAAATTCCATCTTTTAAAACCCCCCTCTAAGTATATACTGTATATATATATATATACCCATGAAGAATCAGTCAGTCCAGATTCCCCGGGCAATGAACAATCTCGTATAGATAGAGGTCTTAATGGGAAAATAGAGTCTATAAAGGTGGAGTTGTCCATTGCGATTTGTGTTTTTTTTGTTTTGTGGGTGAAACATATTGGGAAATATTGGGAAAGACCGTCCGGTAATTTGACATGGCAATGGAACATCCAAGCACTAAGTAGTTCGATGATTTTCCCAGCTATAAACCTCCATTTAGTGCGGGGATTTTTCAGCCAACCATGTTTGATTACGGTAGGCTACATTCCATTATATACCATTAATACGTCATTAAACGATATCCCCATTATATCCATCCAACATCATTAAACCATCAAACTCCCATGATATATATATATATATCCATTAGACAATCATTAAACCATATATTCATTACTTCCCATTAAACCATCATTAAACCATTAAACCATCCAACATCATTAAAACATCATAGATCACCGTTCCGTTTCACATCACCCCGTTTCCCCGGTGGAGCGCCCCAGGCCGCCCGTGTGCTTCGGAGCCATGGGCGCCTCGTGCTGCTCTGCGGCCAGCCGGAGCTGCTGGCGGCGGCCGTGGTGAAGGCGGCACCTGGTTTTTTTCGGGGACGTTGGTGGGGTGTGACAGTGGGGATCTAACCGTCATGTCGTAGGGTTTCATGATGTTTCATTTTTTTACTTGCAAGTTTTATATTGATGATTGGATAATGGTTGATCACTGATGGTTGTTTTGGTTGATTTGTGATTCAAAAGTGGATCTAACCATCTTTTGTAGGGGCTTTAACTTTAGGAATGACGTCCAGAAATCATGGTTCGTCCAGGACTCTGATTGGTTGACCACCTTAGATTCAAGGGAAATCAACAACCCAATGGGCTTAGCTTCAGCCATTCTGATGGAGGACGACTGGCCTATCACTTTAGAATGGACATCCCCTGGTTACTGTAATAGTAGTGACAGTTGCACTGCCAATTGAAGGGATAATACCTAGAAACACCGCTGGGCGGAAAAAAGTGCCCGACTCTCCTGTAGGCAGAAATTTCTGCCTAACTCAAGAGGAAACGCCGAGGACAAAAACAAACGCCCATGCCCTTATAACAAAAATCCCGAACATCATCTGGTCCCCAACTATGTGGTTTTGGGCGCCCTGCATGATAGTTGCTGAATTGGTTGAGCAGGGCTTTGGCGAAAAGACCGCAAGCACCACATTTCCCCTCATTCCATTTCTGCCTATAATTCTTTTTTTCCGCCTAATTCCGGGTCTTTCCGCATAAATTCCGGGTTTTCCCGCCTAAATTCCGGCTAAAAATGCCGAGGCCAAAAACTTGTTCAACATTCAACATGTTTTGAAAAAGGGCCCCCATCGGTATTCCTGGATTCGAGAGTTCAACCCCGTTGAGATTGGACCCGTTGGGGATGCTTTTAAAAAAAAGTGCCGACATGAGTAAGGAAATGCCGACGCATTGGATGTTCCGGGTAATTCCGCCTAGGAGCTAGAGTAGGCGTTGAGGGCAGAAAAATGTGCCCAATGGATCTTCTAGGTATCAGAATTTCAGAAATCCTGGGTCAGTCTACGGTAGGTAAAGTACTGTTAAACCATCTTATATATAGCGCCGGACAACTACTTAGAACATCGTTTTGGAAATTTTTCGGTGGGTACGCGCGCTCTACTTAGAACATTTTCGGCGAATAGGGGGACGTATGTTCTAAGTGACTTAGAACATATGAGGATCCTCTACTTAGAACATGCCATCATATATACATGTAAATATATGTATATGTATACATACATACAACTTAACACTGCATATTTATATTATATATACAGGTGGTGTGATGTTGCGTTAAGATACGTTGTATATTGAAATTATATGACCGATTGAGCGGTTGGAATGGTCCAAAGCCTACAGCGGGACGAGATTCGAGATAAATAGGTACATATATTGAGCTGAACAAAATGAGCGAATGGATCCGGATGCTCTAGGTGAGAGGCTACAATTCGAACATCAGGTTTGGAAAGTTTTTATTATATGAATATATAGTGCCGGACAACTACAATATTAAAAATATATTATATATACACAGGATTTTCCAAAAATGCACGTAGATAGCTGGGGAGATTCTTACTTAGAACATGGGGGAACCCCCAAAACCTCTACTTAGAACATCCCGTGAACATATATGTTCTAAGTAGTGGTCCAGGATCTCTACTTAGAACATGTTTTGGAATTCCAAAACCAATGTTCTAAGTATATGTCCGGCACTATATATACCTTGAGAACCTAAACCTCAAGAAATCTCAGGGTTGAGTGAAAAACCCAATGTTTGAGATGGGAACCCGAGGTTTGTAAAATCACAATATTTCCCGATCATCTCAACTTTTGCCCGTCCATGTTGCCACTGCGGCTTTGTTGACAAGAAGCCCATCGGAGACGCAAAGCCGAGACCTGAGGTGGCCTCAAGTAAATATAATCTTTAAATATCTTCAAATTACTACATTACCTGCAATAAAAAGTTTGTATCACCGTTTGAATTGGATCTGTGGAATATGGTAGGGTGGCCAAAAAACACCTCAAGTTCTAGCAGCTCTGCAAACCAGTTTAGATTTGATCCCATGGCAGTATGCCCCTTTCAAATACCGTTGGATCACCCTCCTAACTTGAATCTTACCTGGCCGGACGCGTCTGGAGACACGTGATGGCCGACCGACGAAATCTTCGTCAGCCTGGCATGACCAGGCCAACGGGTTGACTATATGTGACCGATTGTCACGGCTGGCTGCTAGAACCAGCTCAAGCACTATATGGTGAAACGCGTGCCCTTTGGGCTGAAGCGGAAACAGCATACGACCTAGGACCCTACATTTATGGGCCAAACTTGCGAAGCGGCGTAGAAACTTCATTCCCATTTCGCCAGCAAATCCAGCGTCAGAGTTGCTCAGAAAAACTCCTCTGGAAAACAAAGTTCGAAGACATGCGTTTCCTGCTCTCACTGCCTCCATGCATTCCTGAAGAAGACCGTTGGCGGAGAAATCCACGTCCTTGTAGTGGTCTTCCACAAACTCCATCAGCACTGTCGTTAGAGCACCTTTGTGCCAGGCTCCAACGGGAAATGTGCCTTGTGTCGGCCATGAAATCAGCTCTTTGGACAGCTTCTTGACTTGGGGCGTCTTTTTATGTAATTGACACCACCCCAAAAACTCCTGCGTCAACAATTCGAAGCGCTGATCAATGTTTCCTGCAGGTTGAATCTCTGACAGCAAAGCGAGCGCGCCGCCAAGGAATTGCTTGGCCAGGCCAAGGTGCCACACATGGAAAACGTCGAACTTGAAGAATGAAGGAAATTCATCAGCAACATGAGGGACTGCCAAAAACGGCGACGGCGAATTGAATGGACATTGCTGGAACAGGGTATTATACCAGATCGGACGTCTAGTTTGAAACTGCTCAAAAGGGATTTCATTTTGACCTGCCTTGCACAAACGGCAGATCCCCACAGGTGGATGTCGCAGGTTTCTCTTTTTCTGCACGTGACTAAACGTCCTGGATAAGTCACCGGAACGCTGCAGCCATGGCCAATCACCTGTGACCCCGAGAGTCATGAACCAGTGCCGTTCACCAGTCCTTGGGTGCATGGCTCCTTCCAATGCCATGTGAGATGCTTCCTCTGCAGCCAGTCCCAAAAAAGCGGTAAACACTTCTTCGTTGTCATCCGCGAAGAACGCCTTTGGCATGCACCCAAACAGGAAACGATGAGTGTAGGAGTGCCCTTTGAAATTCAAATTGTGCTGGACAAAGCGGCGACGAAGGTTCATCTGACCATTCCGTTGTTTCTGAAGGTTTGTCCCACGCCCCAACAAGCTGTGGTAGTTGCACACCAAGAAGGGCTGTCTCTTCTGTCCTCGCCCCTCATCTCCGTGCAGCACACATGGTGCCACACGGTCCAAGCAGATTTTGCCTTCTGCAGCAAGTTCGAAGATAGGGTGGCGGGGGTTTTGGCATCTGAATTTGTGCCAAAAACTTCTGAGCACTGCCTTTTCTCTTTGTTCATTGGGGGCCATCAGCCCACACACCAGATGCCACACGTTAAACCGCAAGAGGTAAGCAGCCCAATCCCGCAGTCGTAGCACGGGAATGTCCTTTTTCTGGTCACTGAGGGGCAAAGGCGTGAGAGGAATCCCCAACCCAAGCCCAAACTTGTCCAACGTATTGTGCATGTCTCGTTCAGAATTGGATTCAGAGCACTTGGAGATCTCCACAATGCCGGGTGATCTCCTGGCAAGGTTGACTCCCAAATCATCTACCAAGCCGCGCGCTGCCCGGATTGCAGATCTGCATGTGGCCTTGGCAACGGCCGCAACAAGCATAATATGGTGTTATATACTCCTAGAAGAATGGCCACCATATTTCGCAGATCCAGTTTATTATATATCATGATAGTAGGGCGACAAACTCAAAAGAATAGAAGGCAATACCTGGGTAAAACTAGCAAACCATCTTCTTCCCAAATTAAAACTACCTTTTTATATGGATGGAAAGTATTACCCCACAATATCTTCATTCTCTTTGGGCTCTATCAGCTAAAACTTTGGGCTGGTGAAGCATGAAGGTCTTACGCATCACCGCAAAGGAATGAGATTCGTATTGCCCCGGCCTCTTGAATGATAAACGAAAAGAATCTCAATGGCTCCCTCACAATTTCGACTTTTGAATGCTTATTCCCAAGGGGTAATGGAAATATAATTTTCTGTAGCGAGCAGGCATAACAGGGCAGCAACCCTTCTAACTTAAGGGAGTGTCTATTTCTATTTCGCATACCACGAAAGGAAGTGGACAATGCATATCAGAAGAAAAGCATCGTGGCTAACTCCTGCAAAAGGTTGGTTTGAATCCAAAGTTCTCACCCATGAACAGTGAACATATCTAAAAGCACCCATTGTTGCATGTACCCAGAAATATGTTTTGGGCCATGGGGTTTTGCTAACCCTAGTTTGGAACCCGCACCATCTCCAGGGGCAACTTTTTCACCTGAGGCCCGAACACCTTCCGCAATGTCTGCGCTTATGTTGCTTATGGCATGTCCTGGCTCAAGGCCTGGCAAGTCCGGGAATATTTCGAAAAGAAAAGTCAAACACATATACATCGCACAGTGTTGGTGGATCGCGCTGGGATTTTCACCACCGACCCCATTTCAGTGGTGCTTCATGCTCAACAGGTTGGAGCTGCAGTGATACTGATGCTGAGGACTGTGGCCACACCACAGCTTGTAGCTGTAAACTCAGAGACGTGCCATGTCGGGAAGCAAGTATGGAAACGGAAACCGTTTTGAAAAGAGAATGTTGTTACAATGGCTAGACAGGCCCGTCAGAATCCTATCCAGCTCAAATCTTTGATTTGAAGCACTTATTGGTTCTTGCGCTTCTTGGACTTACGTTCCTCCTTAGGAACCTTCTTACCATCAGCAACGTCCTTAGGACGCTTGTTAGTTTTGGGCTGTTTCTCAGACTGATCCTTCTTTTTGGTCCAGTACTTCTTGGCATTCCTGGTGTGGTCGCTACATGAAGAACTCTGCTGGCAGGACTTGTCAGCTACATCCTGGGCACAGTCCTGGCTTTCAACTCAGCTGCCGCTGCTCGGCTACACCTGGGCACCACAGGGATTGATAGGTTGAGAACCACAGGCTTGGAAAGGGGGAAAGCTGGATGGATGAACAGCTGGTTACACTTACCTTGAGAACCTGACGCAAAGGTTGCGTCTTTCATCCGGTCCTCTGCCATCTTCCAAAACCTAGGATGCAACAGGATCTGTTTTCAGGGATCTTGTTTTTTGAAGAAGGTACAGGTGAAAGAGAATTGAACTCATCTTTTTTTCAATACCGGGCAACTTATCTCCGGTAAATCGGTCCGCTTCACCCTGAGCCCATGCGTCATTGCATCGGTCGTAGTGCTTGTCAACCTCTGCCAAGTGCTGTTGCAGCTCTGCAACCAACCTCAGGCCAGTGAAAGAGAATAGTGGAAACCAGGGGCGATTTTGACACCAGGTGCTAGAACTCACATTCAGCCAGTATAAGGAATCCTATCATACAATGCAATGAAATCAAAGCGACACAGGGCATCCCTTGATCTTGGTTGGTGGGCAGCCCCAGCGAAGGGTAGGAACCTTTAGGCATCAAAGTTTCAAGGACACTGTGCTGTCAATACACGAGTCAATAACTGTGTGAAGATAAGATGCTTGTCACAGCTCTCATCAACATAGTTGTTCTTCATGTCACGGATTACGGATCTCATCTTCCCACTTTTGGACATCATCGACTGCAGGAAGGTACGCAGAGCTTCTTTCGTCTAGCAAGGGACCAGGGATGTTGAAGACTGAACATGTTGGTCGGGTTTCATCCACAACCCTAGGCTCACATATACCACCCTTGAAAAACGTGAGCAAGTCAGAATCACAAATAGGTTGAGCCTGGGCATACTTGTCTTGCTGCGGACGCTCCACAACAAGAGCCTTCGCTTTCTCCTGACGTGCTTTGTAGGCATCCAACCCATCAACGGTCGGCATGTCCCAAGAGGGGTCTTTGTCAGCCTCCGCGCATCCAAGGAAATTGGCATACGATGGCAAATGGGGAGCAACAACATATTCTGCTACCAGCTCACCAGGTGACACTGAAGTTAGTGAAGTTAGCGCCTGAGATTCCTTGACATGTTTTTCTTCGTGGGCTGACTCTGCAACTCGTTCACCTTTTTCACGCACTTTGACCCAGTACTCGGTCAAGCCGTCATACTCGTTGGACCTGTCAAAGGTTGAAGCATGTTTTTTGAAAAAAGTATTCGGTCAAGCCCTCATACTCGTTGGACGTGTCACAGGTTAACATGTTTTTGAAAAACATGTTCCCACAAAACATGAATGACTTGGCTCAAACATGTTGAAAGCGAAATTCCCACATGGCTGCGAACTCCAAAGGTGAAGCATGAGGTCAGCCTTATGTAACCCTCACCCAGCTGTTGACACCGAGCTTTTGCACCCTCGATCTTCTTCCTAAGAACCCGGCCATGCATAATACATGTGCGCATCTTAAGTGCAAAGCGTAGCTGACATTATATTGCATGTCTTTGGCGTTGATATGCAAATTCACTCCAAGAAAGGCTGGGTGAAGGACGCGTTCCAGGAAAGCTCGTCTCGCATCTCGCTTTCGGAGTACCACCCTTCGTCGACGGTCAGCTTGAAGGATTGCCGTTTGGTGACCATGATCTGGAGTTTGTTGATGAAGGCGTCCTGCAAGTGAAAAAAAATACTCGCCGGCTTTGGGACATTGGAAGCCATCTGACTCTTAAAACAGTGACTCAGGATGAACCACACGTTTATGAGACTGTCCTTGTTGAAGTTCTCTCTGGCAAACAAGTCGGCCAGCTCATCCTTGCTGCCGGTGGCCCACTCATCCCTTACCCACTGGGGAACGTTCAAGCTCTTTTTGGTTCCCTTGACCTTCACCAACCTCATGATCCTGGCTTTTGAAGCTTTTCGAAGAGCCACCTGTCAGTGGGAATGTCAACATGCAGGAATAAAAGGATAGCATCACAAAGGGCACGCAAGAAACCAACTGTTCAATAACAGGGTTGAAATTGGAGGCCTTGCGTTGGGTCATGCCATTGGGAAGCTGTGCGGCTTCTTTCTCGGATTCCGGAGCTGTCGCTAACACTTCAGGTTTGTTTTCCGATTGAGCTGGCTGAGCGGGTTCTGCCGGCTGAGTGTGTTCTGCCATTGCTGCATGAGGTGGTGTCTGCTGCGTATCTGCGAGAGTAGGAGAGACATGAGCTGAGCTAGCTGGAGTTGCTGGTGGATCTGCCCCACCAGTCGAAAGATCCTAGGAGCACCCAAACAACACATCATACCACAAATCGAAACAAAAGATCATACCACAAATCGAAGAACCAAGGCTTGTCAGTTCAAGTGTGGAGATGCCACCATGCCACTGAACCTTTCACACCTGTCGCCCCTTCAGCTGTAGTTGCTTCAGCAAGCTCTTCAGAGGTTGCCTGGGCCAGAAGGATACCACTCTTAAGTAGCACCACTCTTGGATGGAAAGTGTGAGGTGGAGCTGGGGGAAAAAGAAATATAAGGACAGAAGGCTAATAAGGCGAAACACAATGAAATTCAATGGCTCCAGATCAAATCACTTTGCAAATTATTGCTCCAAAAATCTCAGAATGTGAACTTTGAGCATTCTGCTGTTTTCTTGTGCCTGAGGTCCCAGCTGGCACAGTGTCCTGCTCGGCTGCTGTGCATTCTGTGGCACCAGACTCAGCAGTGACGAGGCAGAGGATGGAGAATAACTTTGATTGGGACCTATGAGGATTGCAGTTAAAGACGCGCTGAACTTTGGCTCACCACAGCCCGGTTGTCACTGAGCCACTGAGTTTTTGACACCGGTCTCGGTCTGAGTCTGGTCATGAGGGGGAAGCAGAGACATCTGTAGCTCAATCTCCTGCACAGCATCGGCTCTCATCTGCTATCTGCTGTGACCTGATGTCCTCAATGTTCCTTCATGTATTTCTCATGCACCCCTTTGATCATGAGAATTTGAGGCATGATTTTTGTTCAGAGCCGGCCAGAAAACTCCTTCAGTTGCTGCAGCAATGCCGCCTCTTCATCAACCGGGGTCGCGGACTGATTGGCAACATGGGCAATGCCGTCTTCCAAGGTGGCACAGCTGCTCCACACTTGGGACGGGGCAGGACCCTCAGACATGGTCTAAAGAGTCCACGGGGCAAGACGCAAGAATCCTCAAAATGGCTTCGTTAAATACAGTTCAGCAAAAAAAGGCTCATGCTTGTTAGCCGGTTTGGCAGGTGCATTCAAAAACATCGTGGCTGTAGGTTAGGTTTGTATTGTACTTATACCACAAGCCATTTTTCCCTCTGAAAGATCTTCATTGGAGCAACTTGCACTTGCAAGTCAGTGCCAGCAACAGGTAGCCTGCTGCAAACAGGCATTCAAGACTAAATTGTCACAGAAAAGTATCCATCTCCGACCTTTTGAAGCCGTGGGAATTCAAAAATGGAACGTATCGACATACAGATCCGCCAAAGCATCGCTAAACACAATAAACAACTTGTCAAAACCACAAACCACATGATATCCAGGGGCTATGCGTAACCCGAGAAAAAAGTACGGGTTGGTACGGGTTAGGTACGGGTTAGGTACGGGTTAGGAAACCCAGGGTTTCCCACAATACCCGAAGTTTACCCCTTCCAGGTACGGGTTAGTACGGGTTAGGTACGGTTTAGGTACGGGTTTGCTACCGCACCCGAACTTTTTTCACAAAAATAACATAAAAACTGAAAAAATCAACATATTTCACTAAAAAAGTTGAAATCTTTGAGATTTTCACGTGTTGACCCTTGTTCATCCCCATGACTTTCAAAGATCTTTGAAGGATACTGGAACGAAATCCTTCCACTCATCTGGAATTCGAAGTTTTTTGGATTTTCTCAAGTATTCATAAAGAGAGCCTATGTCAGCAGACTGGAAAACATCGGTTGTTTCCCAACCCATTTGAAAAATCTCCAGGGCTGAGGGCCAGTAGGATGACTGCGGCACATCAGGTTGGCCTTTCTTGGTCAGCTTCATTTCAGGGATCAAGTCGGCGACGGCAGAGGCGAACTGCATCGGATACACCCTGAGCTGTGGAGGCAAGATGATTCAAGATGATAGTAGACAAATCCGTGGATACCAGCGCCACACCCTATCAGTTTTGGAAAGATCCCCCAAAATGCTTTGGTATATAAACGGTTTCTGTTGCATGCCAAACTCATTCATAAGCTTCAGCAAGGGTCTCCGTTTTTTTGAGTTGAGAAGTGCCAACATACCGGGATTTGCCATTGTGGTCACGGTAGCGCCGGGCAGTTTGCCTACTTGGTGGTAACTTCTTCCAGCCCGTGAGACGCCCACGGTCCAATTTGCTGATTGCATCTGAATTGGAAACAGCGTAGTGACGCTTAGCCGTACTGCCCCCAAAGTGCCACATCCACCATTTCACAATGGTGACCTTAATCCAGATCCAGTCACTATCACCCAGACTTGAGAAATGGATTTCTTGAATGAAGCAATTTACAACGGTAAGGCGTGGACAGCATGTGGTCCCCCAACTTGTTGCAAGCTTATCATCATATAGCGGAAAGCTGGGTAAAAAAGGAGCACGCTCCCACTTGGCTGCTCCAATGTCCACACTGCTCCCATGCAGGTGGCGACAAGAATAAGGAGGCAGCTCCTGAGCAATGTTTGGTTCTGGCGAGCTGCAATAGGGAATACTTGGTGATCAATAATCATATGTGATTCACCTTTTCATATATAGCTGAGGGTCCGTTCTGTAAGCAAATTCCTACCCGTTCCAAGTGAGCAGGAGCAAAAACAGAAGCAAAAGCGCCGTGAAGAAATTGACGAAGGTTGGAGGGTAGATTTGGAGCTTGATTTGATCATATGGCAACTAGGCTTCTTAAAAGCCCGCTTGAGCTTCAAGACTGCACTTGCCCCACGTTGAAGGATCAGTTCAAAAGAAATCAAAAAACCACATCTTTCCAAGTGCCAATTTTTAAGCTGCCGTTCTTAGTGGCTAAACAAGCAGGTTGGACGTCTCCGCTTTGAAATCCCTCTCCCAAGCTGCGGGTGGCAAAGGAGTCGTCTCTTTGACGACATGCACCTCAGATAGGGCATGCAAGAGCTGCTTTTTCCCAGCTATAGTTTGCAGAGTGGTGGCAACTTCTACTCAAAGTGTTCGTCCGTACTTGGGATTAAAGAAGGTCGTTGCTTTTACCATCAGAAAGCTAACCCCAACAGCTTTTGAAACCCATCTTTAGCAAAGCACCCAGTTTCTCCACAATATATCCATCCATACATTTTCTCATCTTCGCACTGTCTTCGCATAGTGTCCAGCCCGCATGGGCGAATGTGAGGCTAGAAGCTCCACTGACGAAGTCTTTGCACCAGGACCGAATGGGCAAATCCACCAAGTCACCAAAGCGATGAGATATTGATAAAGAGCAATAGACGTTGCAACTCTTAGTCATGTTTTAATCAAAGATCATCGGTCCACCCGTGCTTCTTTGAAGTACACTGAGAAAGTGCGAGGTGCTCAGGCAGCAAAAGGTATGACGAAATGACCTGGAGCAGAAACTGAAGAATTGTGGTTCGAGTTGCTATGTTTCCTAAGCCCTCCTCTTGTTTGCGGAGGTTGTGACCCCGACAGTCAAGGTGATTTCACCTTGCCCCCACAACGCCGCTCTATACAAGTAGGAAAGCAGCAGCATGACAA